GAAGAGCGTAAATCAGCAATCAGCCTTCTCGAGGGCTCCTCACTCGGGCTCTGCAGCTCCGAGCTTATTGCGTAGCACCGCAAAGCGTTACCTCCCCAGTACCACGGTAGGGAATTAAAAGCCTTGATGGTGTCCTCGTTAAAATAAGCAGAAGATCTCCCCGCGTTTTACGATTGACTCTGGGTCACGCTTGCCCTCCTCCTTTTGATTGTAGGGCTGAATTTGCCACTTGTTTCCTAAATGCTTGAAAAAAACCCCCTCGTTATTCTGCACGATGCAAAGGCTCTGTCGTTCTTGGGCTGTAATTAAGCAAATTGGGCATATGCTTAATTTCAGTGGCTTGCCAAATTCGAGCCTTCCTGACTGCTCTGGCCCTTGGAAGAGGATTGTTTCTCCTCCGCTGGCACCGTTCTTAGTGGCAGGGACGTCCTTAGCAGAGGAGGTTGCAGACCTGAATATGTGTTTTAAGCAAATGTGCTGTTAATTGATCACTGCTATGATACAGAGTGGGGATGGAGCCAAGGGGTGGGCGGCAGAGGAAGGTTGCCCATGGTCAAGGAGCATCCTGACCCGCTCCGGCACCCGCTGCCCGCACGCTGCCCGGCTTTATTCCCTTTGCAGGCGTTGGACGGCTTCTTCTTCGTTGTGAACCGCGAAGGGAGGATCGTCTTCGTCTCCGAGAACGTGACCAGCTACCTGGGTTATAACCAGGAGGAGCTCATGAACACCAGTGTCTACAGCATCCTGCACGTGGGGGATCACGCCGAGTTCGTCAAGAACTTGTTGCCGAAGTCTCTCGGTAAGAAAACCCTTGAGGTGGGTTTCTTAATCAGGTGGTGCCTGATTTTTTGCGCTGTCAAAAATGCTGTTGTGCCTTCAGCGACACTGGCCTTACGTTGTTTTAGAGACATATATTTTTTTTAATATTGTTTACTGTGAAATTCAGAGATAAACGCAAACCAGGTAAGGATCCGTAAGTCTTTGCCAAGTGAAATATCGATATCCTGGTCTCTAAATTGGAGAGACATGGATTTGACAAATGGACCACTTGGTGGATACAGAACTGGATGCACAGTCGCACTCAAAGAGTTGTGGTCAACGGCTCCATGTCCAAGTGGAGAGCAGTGACGAGTGGCGTTCCTCAGGGGTTGGTACTGGGACCTGTACTGTTCAACAGCTTTGTCGTGGACATGGACCGTGGGGTCGAGTGCACCCTCAGCAAGTTTGCCGATGACACCAAGCTGTGTGGTGAGGTAGACACGCTGGAGGGGAGGGATGGGATGCCATCCAGAGGGACCTGGACAGGCTGGAGAGGTGGGCCCAAGCCAACCTCATGCAGTTCAACAAGGCCAAGTGCAGGTCCTACAGCTGGGTCAGGGCAATCCCCAGCACAACTCCAGGCTGGGCGGGGAATGGCTGGAGAGCAGCCCTGAGGAGAAGGCCCTGGGGGGGCTGATTGACCAGAAGCTCAGCGTGAGCCGGCAACGTGCGATCGCAGCCCAGAAGGCCAACCGGATCCTGGGCTGCATCAGAAGAAGTGTGGCCAGCAGGGCGAGGGAGGGGGTTCTGCCCCTCTACTCCACTCTGGGGAGACCCCACCTGGAGTACTGCGTCCAGCTCTGGAATCCCCAACAGAAGAAGGACATGGACCTGCTGGAGTGTGTCCAGAGGAGAGCCACGAGGATGATGCGAGGGCTGGAGCACCTCTGCGATGAGGAGAGGCTGAGAGAGTTGGGGCTGTTCAGCCTGGAGAAGAGAAGGCTCCGGGGAGATCTTATTGCCGCCTTCCAGTGCCTAAAGGGGCTCCAGGAGAGCTGGGGAGGGACTTTTTACTGGGGCATGGAGTGACAGGACGAGGGGGAATGGCTCTAAACTGGAAGAGGGCAGGTTTAGATTAAACATGAGGCAGAAGTTTTTCCCTGTGAGGGTGGTGAGGCACTGGCACAGGTTGCCCAGAGAGGTTGTTGAGGCCCCATCCCCAGAGGTGTTGAAGGCCAGGCTGGAGGTGGCCTTGGGCAACCTGGGCTGGTGGGAGGTGTCCCTGCCCATGGCAGGGGGGTTGGAACGCGATGGTCTTCAAGGTCCTTTCCAACTTAAACCTTTCTGTGATTCTATGATGTCCTAAAGTACTTAAATCTGTGAGCACTGATCAGATGGAGCCTATAGAGGCTCAGGCATCATATTTTCCCTGTGGTTGCCCAGTTTAAGGCTGTGTAGTTTGTCTTTCCTCGGGTGTTACACGCCCCTCAGCTCTTCTTGTAGATCAGGTTGCAGGAAAACTTGATACTCTGCTGCTGGCGACATCATAGAATCGTGGAATGGTTTAGGTTGGAAGGGACCTTGAAGATCATCGGGTTCCAAGAAGGTCGAGTTCCTTGAAGATCATCGAGATCCAAATCACTCGGGTTGAATACAGATATCCATGAAGACGTTGTAGAGGAGTAGCAAAATCTTCCAAGTGGTGCCCAGAGGTTTTTGGGAAAGCCAGATTATGGAAAGCAATCAAAGGGGAAGGGTTTTGCTGCTGTGGTACCAGAAGGTCTCGCTGCTGACTTACTCCAGAAATGGGGAGAAAGCAAAGCAAAAATTCATTTCTATGGAGATGCTCGGCTGGACTTGCTGGAGAAGTCCCGGGAACATCACTTTGGAGGGATTTCAAGTACGACAGCAAGAGGCAGGAGTCTTCCCAAGCTCTGGAAGTGACTCAGAGACCCCGTGCCTCAGTTTCTCTGCCCGTAAGATGGAGCAATTAATAAATGTCATTTAGATGACTTTCGCAACGACGTGCTGATCTCATTTGGGGTTGTAGGTGCTTTTCAGGCTGCGTGGGTTTGGGCATGGGGTCTTCAGCAGGTCGGAAGGAGCCCCGGGGGCTGGTGGGGACCCCACCTCTGCTCTGGGCTCCCCCCTTACCTGGGCAGCGAGCTGGTTTCTTCCCCCATTCCAGTGCTTTTCCTTCTCTCCCCTTATCCGAGGGGTCCTCGGGAAGTCGAGGGGGGATGTGTGCCCAACGCAGCTCCTAATAATTCTTCTCCTCTTTTCTCCGCCCCCCAGTAAATGGAGTTCCTTGGCCTCAAGAAGTGACCAGGCGCAACAGCCATACCTTCAGCTGCAGGATGCTGATCCGGCCGCCCGACGAGCCGGGAGCGGAGAACCAGGAGGCTCGGCAGCGCTATGAGGTGATGCAGTGCTTCACCGTCTCCCAGCCCAAGTCCTTCAAGGAGGAAGGAGAAGGTAGGGGAGAGCATCCTCTGCTTCCGACCCCGCGTTCGGGCTGGGAAGGGCAGGAGGAGGACTGGGATGGGGATGGCAGTGCAGGAGGAGGACTGGGATGGGGATGGCAGTGCAGGAGGAGGACTGGGGTGGGGATGGCAGTGCAGGAGGAGGACTGGGATGGGGATGGCAGTGTGGGAGGAGGACTGGATTAGGGATGGCAGTGCAGGAGGAGGACTGGGGTGGGGATGGCAGTGCAGGCAGGAGGAGGACTGGGATGGGCTTGGTTATTCCTGGCCCGTCACAGTGGGTGCCCGGCACAGGTGAGACAGCGGGGGCGATACCTGAAGTTCGCTGCAGCTTCTTGCTCCCCCTTCTCCTCTGAGCCGATGCCCTCCAGCCGTCCCGGCTTCTCTGGCCCTCCAGAGCTGCCTCTGGGGCTGTTTGCAGTTGGAATTCCTTAAGGCAGGAACAGTATTTTATTACCCACCGAAGCCCTCTGGCTGCAGCACCTTCCCAGCAAGTGACGTGGGTGCCCGACACCCCACCGTGTGCCTTCACCGCTGCCAGACCACGGTGCTGCCTGCACGTTTTTGGGCTGAATCGGCTGCCTGCAGGCAGATCTCTGCCCGGGGACTCGGGACGGGCAGGGTTCTCTCAGCGCCGTGGGGGCCGTTGCTTTCCTGCAAGTGCCCTAACTCTCCTTTCGGTGTCCCAGCTATTATTTTCCAGCGCATTAGCTGGATTAATCCATTGCGGTTTACACAGGAGATCATGACTGGAAGGAATAAATTATGGTATTTTATGACCAAATACTTTGCCTGAAGCCGACAGTTGCTGGCTTTTAGTGCTGACTTTTATTGTACAATACTGCCAGATCCAAAAAGCCTGTACAATTAATTTCTCCAAGCACTGGAAACCTCTTTTCCAGCAAACTTTATAGAATTTAGGAAGAGCCTACTCACTTTGAAGGGCCGGAGGATTGCTCAGGATAAACACTTCCAGGGCAGGATGTGGCAATCAAGCCCAGCAGTGTTATTTTAATTAATACGTTGAGTGGTGGTTGTAACATCTGATTTCCTTGTTCCCGGTCCCTTCTCCTGCTTTGGCAGATTTCCAGTCGTGTCTGATATGCATTGCGAGACGATTACCTCGACCGGCAGCCGTCGCCCCTTCCGAATCCTTCGTGACCAAGCAAGACACCACAGGTAACGTCCCAGCGATGCCGGGGAGTCCTGGCTCCGGAGGATTAACTATCCCCGGGGGTCAGAGGCCAGCGGTGCAGTGCAGCACCCCATGGCATGAGCGTGGTCCTGTCCTTTGCAAATGGCAGCGCTGCCTGCTAGGAGGAAGGTGGTTGACACCTCAACTGGAGGCACCTCAACTGAGTTGACACCTCAGCTGGTCCAATGCACCAGACCCGTGCCCCGCACACAACCCCTCTCTGCACCTTTGGATTTTGGGGTGCTGTCGAGGTTGCTGATTGATGGGAATGAAACAGTCATCACCTTTCAGATTCAGGTTTGCTCTTGGCCAAATATTGCTTTCCAGTCATTCTGGTGACCTTCTTTCTGGTAGTTAATCATCACCCCGGACTTCCCTGCAGCCTGAAAATCCTTAATGAATATTTTCTATGCTCGCTGCTCCCTGCCCATGGCTGTAAAACAGCCAGCAAAGCTGCCTGGTGTTCCGTGTCGAGGGAGAAAGCAGGCAGCAGGTCCTGCTTGGAGGATCCCCTGGTGTGGGCACGGTGGCTGGCAGGGTGTCCCAGTGGGTGAGGGTGGGAATCTGGGGACCCCAGTCCTGGAGCAGCGAGGGTCCCATCATGCAAAGGTTCTTCTTGTCGGGTTTCGTGTCCAAGGTGTGTGTAGAGGTCTGTGTGTGCTCCAGAGCGAACTCCTTGAACTTCCACCTCCTTCTGGAGGACATCCTCGTGTGCTTCTGCCACTGCTGCCTGACACCAAATAGGACGTGGCTTCATTTTCCACACTTATGGACCTATTTGTGCTGAGGGACTTCTCATGCTGTGTTTGAGTAACGTGGCTTCTCTCTCTCCGCCCAGGTAAAATCATCTCCATTGACACCAGTTCCCTGAGAGCCGCCGGCAGGACGGGCTGGGAGGATCTGGTGCGGAAATGCATCTACGCTTTCTTCCAGCCTCAGGGCAGAGAGCCGTCTTACGCCAAACAGCTCTTTCAAGAAGGTAAAGGGCTCCTCTTCCTCGCTGGCGCGCTCTCCTGCCGAGCGGCGGGAGCTGCAAGGAGAAGTCGGAACACGGTCCTCCTTGCTGGATAAATGATTTCTGGAAAAACAAATGCTGCAATAACAATCACAAAGTGCCAAAGGGAGAGGGGAAAGGGCTGAGTAACGCTGGAGGAGCTCCTCCAGCCGGGAGGTTCCCTCTCACCCTTCAGGAAATATAGAATTGAAACAAATATGAGTTAAATATGGTTATTTTTATAATTATTTTTTTCCTGTGCCATCCTCAAACACCATCCCCAGCGTCTAAGCAGAAGAAACGGAAGCTCTGTCGACTCTTCCGTCAGCATCTTTGCTGTGTTGGCTCTTTGATGAGCATCTTTGCTTTGTTGGCGAGGATGCTCACGAGAGGGCTGGAGGGAAGGCGGGAGGTAGGAGCAGGAGGTCGCTGAGCTTCCGGAGAGCTGTAACTCTGCCAGGGCTGCAGCGGCAGTGTCCTGCTGCACCTTCCCAGCCTGGCTGGGCTTCATCAGCCTGGAGGCTGTACGCTGGTGATTGAGTGATTGCCTCGTCGGAAGCTCTGACCACTCAAGGACTGTGCTGGATGGATTTAGATTTAATCGCCGCAGGACACGGGTTTGGAGCTGGAGAAGCAGCTGGGAGGATTTGTGTGCCACTGTGGTTATTCGTAACCCTCTCGTTTTCTGGTTCTCTGGGGTTAGCCACCGTGCAGCATGTGGTTTGGGTTGCTGGGAAGGTGGTTGTCCCAGCAGGTCCTCCCTCTCCTCTGCTCCCTCCATCCTTCTCCTGGTGCTTGTAGGGTGTTGTGGGTTCTGGCTTGAGTTTCTAAGGGGGTTGATGTGTTTCTGGTTGTCTCCTTCAGTGATGACACGCGGCACGGCCTTCAGCCCCTCGTACCGCTTCACCCTGAGCGACGGGACGGTGCTTAGCGCCCACACCAAGTGTAAGCTCTGCTACCCCTCCAGCCCGGAGATGCAGCCCTTCATCATGGGCATCCACGTCATCGACAGGTACGTCCCCACCGTCCCGCTACCGAGCCATGCCAGTGCCCAGGTGGGCGATCCAGGAATCAACAAGCCTGTTCCCTGCAGTGGAAGGAGGATCCGCTGGTGATCCGTGATCCTGGTTTGGAGATGTGATCCCCACGAGGAATCTGAGGCTGAAAAGCAGCATGATGGCGGCTCTGTTGGCTCTTGAGTGTTCTTGTTTTGCAAAGACTTGGCCCCGGGAGTTCAAGGTGGAGATTTATAGCCGTGCTTCAGATTTCTGCCTTGCCCTGGAGAACTGAAAATATTTGGGGAGGGAGAGGCTCTGACAAACTGACAGGACAGGGAGGGGTGAGGCTGTCGACCTGGGCCACGCTGGGAAAGTGTGAGGGGGTGGGGGTGGAGGGGAATGCTGTCGGAGCACGGTCCTCCTCCAGCCATGTGGGAACGTAAGACCCAGAGAAGGTGATGCCTTCGGGCTTTACCCGGTGAGTGGCTGCAGTCCCAAGCAGCGTCCCATTTCTGGGGAGATGCTAAAGCTGCTGCACTCCATCCGTGCTACTGAAATGGATCCAGAAGCGCTGGTGGAGGTGGGAAGGCTGAGACCACCAGGGCTTGCGAGCTCCTGCTCTCCAGGCTTAGGAACTCTACAGCGTGGACGGGGGGCAGGAGCTGCCTGAGCGACACTGAAGGTTTGGGCAAAGCCTCTTGTGACTTTTCCTCTCCTTTTCGTCTCCTGCAGGGATCACGGCATGCTCTCACCCCAGGAGAACACTAACTCCGCCATGTCCCTTCCCCGGGTCAGCCCCTCGCTGAACCCCAGCATCTCCCCGGGGCAAGGCATGACCTTGCCGCCCTCCATCCCTCCCTCCAACGGCAGCATGTTGGCCACCAACGTGAACCAGCAGCCCGGCGCCGGCCTCCACAACAGCACCTCCAGCACCACCCCAACCA